GGCCTGCGGGCGGGGGCGAGCGCACCTGCGCACAGGCTCCGCGGGCTGCGCTGTGCGTGGGACCCGAAATGGCTGTGTCGTAGGAGCGGGACCCGCGTGCCCGCGAACGCGGACGGAGGGCACGCACCAATACAAAAGCGGGGTGTCGGCCTTCCACCACCCTGGGCCGTCCAAGTTGCCGAAGGGGATTCTGGCCGAGTCCTGGTCACTCTGGCGCGCCCTGGGCAGCCCCATGGGAAACAGGCCTGGAATTCCTGTAGGGAGAGTGGGGGAAGGGGAGCCAGCAGGGATTCCAGAGTTACTGCTCTGGGCCGGCCTTTGGCCACCAGGGAAAGACCCCTGCCACCGAATAGAGAATTCGTTCTGTGACCTTACCGGGGGAGGAGGTGACCCCCCCAAAGGCAGCAATGCGCTTCCTTAGTGAAGAGCGACACTCATTTGAACATTCAGGATCCATTAAGGTCACTGTCACGCAGGCTGTGGGGCTTAAGGCTGGAGCTGTGGCTTTGTTGGGGGAGGGTTGGACACTGGTGAGGACACAAGATGACGCCCCAGAACGCAGAGCCTCACATATGTTTTCTCTCCCCTCCCCACAGGTAAGGCTGGCCTCTCTGCAGTCAGAGGTCTGAGCTCTGCCATGGGGGTAGGGGTGTCTTTATTGCTGCAGTTTTCTCTGACATCTGGGGGCTATCGGAGTGTGGGCCGAAGCAGGCGCTGCAGCGGCAGAAGTATCCCCAAGAACATCCCCAGGAAAAGCTGGAAAAAGCCTCATCCCCAGCTCTGCAATCTTCAGGGTAGAGTCTGGCCCTTGTGTTCCCAAACCACCATACAGCCCCAGTGCTCAGTCCTCCCCATCGGGGCAGAAAGAATAGGGCCTTTGGGCGAAGGACCCCTTTCTCATCTTCCTGTGTGCTCATTCAGTCCTCAGAGGATGAGTCATGTCTGTATTCCCCCAGAGAACAGACTGTAGGGAATTTAGGGACTGTGTCTGGATAGAGCCTGTGAGCAGGTACAGGAGGTCCCTTAAGAGGCCAACTGCCATCCCAGCCTTCATTCTGTGTAGGCGGCTCTCCAGCAGGAATCCGGACTCCCCAGAGCGTGGAAGAACTGAACATGGGCAGCCCTTGACCAGGTTGGGGCAGGACTAGGCAGGGGACAGAGATTACCATCTCTTTCTTTCCCCCTCTTTTGCCCCACTAATCCCCAGCACCCCAAGGGAATCAGAGCCAGGGATTGCTCCCTCCCCCCAGGGCAACGGTCTGTGGGTGTTCTTTGGATCAGGAAAGCTCGGCTTTGTACTAATAATGTGTGTGGGTGGAGGAGGACAGGCGGGCAGATTGTGGGCAGTCTGGACAGGCGGTGGCCTGGCATTAGTCTGTGCTGGGAGTGGTGCCCCAGGCTCCCCTCCTGTCACCAAGTAAGGCTGTTCTCACTCTCCAGGCTGCTGCCCAGAGAAGCTGAGGTTGGTGAGGCTTAAACTGCCTCCCCTGTGGCCTTGCAGGAATGAAAGGTTATAGCAATTTATTTTTGCAACATCTTGCAAACTCAGGTCTTTGAAAGGAAAAAACACTGCCCTGAAAGTTTAGAAGACCTGTCCCTCAGTCCTGGTTGTGCTCTTGGTTTATAGTGTCACCTCAGGCAAGGCCCATCCCTTTTGCTGCCTCACACTTGCATCATCTGTCAACCAAGGCACTCAGTGATTGCCCAGCCAGCCTCACCAAGTTGCTCAGAGCTCAAATGTGGCAATAGGAAATAGCAGACACATGGAGAGGCCACAGGGAAGCTTTGAAAAGGCATAGGGCACTGTAGGGAGATGTGACCATATTTTCTGGTGAGCCCTGTGGCTGGAGTGTTTGTGCAGCTGACCCTGGAAGTTTACTCACCTCCTGACACTGGGGTAGCTGTCACAAGGGGATTCCAAGAAGTGTCAGTATCTCTCCCTTCTGAAAGTTTCTAGGGCAATAAAGATACAAGATAAATATCCTTGAATGTTATCTAGAAATCCAAGATGGAAATAAATAACCTACAAGGAATTAAGAGAGTCTAGATTGGTGTCAAGGGCTCTGGGAGTCCATAGAGGGTGGGCTGCTCTTGGGGTCTGGGGTCTCCTAGGAGGAAAGGAACTGGGGTAGAAGTCTTGGTCTCTGGAGTGACTCTGCTTTTCCACCCTCAGCAGAGGAAGAGCCAATGCTGGAACGGCGCTGCAGGGGCCCCATGGCCATGGGTCCAGCCCAGCCCAGACTCCTTTCAGGGTCCTCCCAGGAGTCACCTCAGACCTTGGAGAAGGAGTCCAGCGGGCTGAGGCACCAGGGCACTAAACTGGCCCAGTCAGGCAGTCAAGCCCTAGGCAGGGCCCGTCGCTGTGCCCACTGTCGAAGGCACTTCTTGAGCTGGGTGGCCCTGTGGCTTCATACCCGAAGGTGCCAGGCGCGGCTCCCTCTGCCCTGTCCTGAATGTGGGAGGCGCTTCCGCCATGCCCCCTTCTTAGCACTGCACCGTCAGGTCCATGCTGCTGCCACACCAGACGTGGGCTTCACCTGCCACCTCTGTGGGCAGAGCTTCCGAGGCTGGGTGGCCCTGGTTCTGCATCTGAGGGCCCACTCGGCTGCAAAGCGGCCCATTGCTTGTCCTGAATGTGAGAGACGCTTCTGGCGACAAAAGCAACTTCGAGCACATCTGCGGCGGTGCCATCCCCCTGCCCCTGAGGCCCGGCCCTTCATATGTGGCAACTGTGGCCGGAGCTTTGCCCAGTGGGACCAGCTGGTTGCTCACAAGCGGGTGCACGTGGCTGAGGCCCTGGAGGAGGCAGCAGCCAAAGCTCTGGGGCCAAGGCCCCGAGGTCGCCCTGCTGTGACCGCCCCGCGGCCTGGTGGGGACGCCGTGGACCGCCCCTTCCAGTGTGCCTGCTGCGGCAAGCGCTTCCGCCACAAGCCCAACCTGATCGCCCACCGCCGAGTGCACACTGGCGAGCGTCCCCACCAGTGCCCAGAATGCGGGAAGCGCTTCACCAACAAGCCCTACCTGACCTCGCACCGTCGCATCCACACTGGCGAGAAGCCCTACCCGTGCACTGAGTGCGGCCGCCGTTTCCGGCACAAACCCAACCTGCTGTCGCACAGCAAGATCCACAAGCGGTCTGAGGGCTCCGCGCAGGCCACCACCGGTGCTGCGAGCCCCCAGCTTTCAGCCGTGGTGCTGGATCCCTCGGCAGAGCCCGGCCCTGAGAAGATTGCTCCGGAGCCCGCGGCGGAGCCTCCACCTGAGGCCCCCTTGGAACCCCCACGGGACCAGGCCCAGGCGACCCCATCCCTGTACAGCTGCGACGACTGTGGGCGCAGCTTCCGGCTGGAGCGCTTCCTGCGCGCGCACCAGCGGCAGCACACCGGGGAGCGGCCCTTCACCTGCGCCGAGTGCGGGAAGAACTTCGGCAAGAAGACCCACCTGGTGGCGCACTCCCGAGTGCACTCCGGCGAGCGACCCTTCGCCTGCGAGGAATGCGGGCGCCGCTTCTCCCAGGGCAGCCACCTGGCCGCCCACCGGCGCGACCACGCCCCGGAGCGGCCCTTCGTCTGCCCCGACTGCGGCAAGGCTTTCCGCCACAAGCCCTACCTGGCCGCCCACCGGCGCATCCACACGGGCGAGAAGCCCTACGTCTGCCCCGACTGCGGCAAAGCCTTCAGCCAGAAGTCCAACCTGGTGTCCCACCGGCGCATCCACACGGGCGAGCGGCCCTACGCCTGCCCCGACTGTGACCGCAGCTTCAGTCAGAAGTCCAATCTCATCACCCACCGCAAGAGCCACATTCGGGATGGCGCCTTTTGCTGTGCCATCTGTGGCCAGACCTTTGACGATGAGGAGAGACTCCTGACCCACCAAAAGAAGCATGATATCTGAGAAGGGCAGGGGCTGTGGGGGACGGAGACAGGCCCTGGGCTCCTTCGCAGCAGGAGTGTGGCAGTGGGCTTGGGTAGCTCGTGTTGGAGCTGGTGACGGAGAGGGATGCGAATTCAGAAGGGAAAGAAGAGGCGGGAGTGAGCTGCGCCCTGTTAGTGAGGGAGTAAACCCGGATGGCCAGGAAAGCCCCTTCAGAGTGGTGTTTCCAACATTCACCTCGACTGTCCTATGCCCTGGAAAAGTAGCAATAGCAGCTCCATTTACCCTTAGTGCCCTTGGCTACAGGAGCCACCGGTGGGAAGGAAGAGTCCATCCTCTGGTGTTAACGCCTTAATGTCCCAGTCTTTATTATGAGTTACTTCAGGTCACTTTTGAAAATAGGTGTGGTACAGTCCTTAGTAAAGGAAAGCTCGGGAGGAAAAGTGGACCAGCTGGATATGCCTTGGAGAGCCTGCTGGCCTTGTCAGGCAGCTGGGGCCTCTTCAGCCCAAGAGATGAAACTAAGCTGGTTTTACCTGTGCCCCCTTCCTGATGTCCCTGCTGAAATCCCAGGCTTGCAGAGGCCCATCTACTGCCAATGATTCCATCCTCTTCCTCCCTGAAGATCACCTTCCCAGGCGTTTCCTCCTTGGACTGTCTGGCTTTATCTAATTGGCCCTCCCAGGGCTGACCCTCTTCCACTCTTTCCAAAGCTCATTGTGGAAGGAAGGACTGGCCCACTGATGCTGGAGGGTCAGCTGAAGGGAAGATCCTGGTTGAGTGTCCTTTTCAAGATTTCCAGCATGTGGATATTAGCCTTTCCTGGTGACAGGGAGCTCCCACCTCCTGAGGCCCTGGTTCTGTTGTAGGATGATTCTAATTGTTAGAAATTCTTCCTTATAATGATCGAATTTTGCTTTCCTATAATTTCTATCTATTGGGCCTTGTTCTGTTCTCTGGATCTAAACAGAACAACCACTTACCCTCCTTTTCAGACTAGAGAATAAAGATTTGGTTTTAGAACTGGTGGCTGGGGAGTATTCCTTTCCCTGGGGACTGTGGAGTTGGAGGGAGGAACATGGCTCTTCTTCCTGGGAAGGAAGGGCTGTGTGAGGCTTTGGCAACAGCTGAGGGCTTCTACACCCTCCATCTAGTCCTTTCCTGAGGAGGTGGCCAGCAAACCAGAAAGTTGGGCTCAGTCCCTGGGTGGTGGGCCAGCGTTCCAGTTAACTGAACCAAGATATTGGTTCCTACTAGGTTGTGATGCACATGTTTAATCCCAGTGACCAGAGGCTGAGGCAGGAGAGTTGCAAGTTGGAGCCCAGCCTGGACAACTTGGCAATATCCTGTCTCAAAACCTAAAAATGGGCTGGAGGTATAGCTCAGTGGTAAAGTGCTTCTGGGTTCCATCTCTAGTACCCTCCTCGATGATACTGGTTTCTAGTCACTGACCCACTGAGGTGAGTCCAGGGCCACCATTGTCATTCTCACCACCTTGGCCTTCCAGTTACTTGAGCTAGCATTGACAGTCCTTTTGGGGGACAGTGGGACATACAGACTTAGGTTAGACTTGCAGCCCCTGCTGGAGGGTTGACAACATGACAAAGGAGTCTCTGGAAGGACAGGCAATTCTGAGCAGTAAGGACAGTTCCCAGCTTGCATATCCCACACACATTGGGTGCAGATCCACATGGCCAGGTGTTCAGCCTTCTTTGAGGCCAGGTCAGACTTCTCAGGTGCCAGTTACCAGGAAAGAAAGGGAAAGATTTGATTGTGTCCTGTGGGATCTCACTGGCTCATCTGCTGCAGGTCCTTCACTGTGTCTTCCTCCCATATGGGGAGGAATATGGGGATTTCCTACATATTTGAGTGTCAGCCATCAACAAGCGCATTTATTTTTGCTTATATTAGAAATCTCTGCACTTATCCCCAGCACCCAGCACAGAGTGGTGCTTAAGAATAGCCACCATTTGCCTATGCGGGTGGCACCCCACAGGGAAGTTCCCCTACACTGCCTCATGTGATCCTTGTGCAGTGGGTGTCTTGTTTGCCTTTTCAACATGAAAACATTTGCTCAGGGTCATGTAACTGGCGGTCACCACAGGCGATTCAAGCTCAGGTCTGTCTGGCTCCTGAACCTGTCCCTTTTCATCACCACCACATACTTTTTGGATAAATTGAGTTTGCTGCTGCTTTTGGTTAAGGTAAGTATTAAATGCCTACTATGTACTTGATGTGATGGAAATGGGTTTCAAAGATCAGAACTACTGTGAGGTCTCCAGACCCCTGAGAGGCTTGGGTCTGGAGAGGATGAACATAAGTACAAAGTGGAGAGATGGACAGAGGCGAGTAGGGCTTAGTGTGTGGGATGGAAGCCAACACCTTCAAAGCTTCATATTGATTTGGGGAGTATTTGGGCCACTTAGAAACCTGTGTAGTTGCTGGGTGTGGTAGCTCATGCCTGTAATCCCAGCAACTTGGGAGGCTGAGGCAGGAGGATTGCAAGTTCAAAACCAGTCTCAGCAACTTCGCAAGATCTCAAGCAACTTAGTGAGACCTTGTTTCAAAAAAAAAAGTTGGGGCATTGGGGATGTGGCTCAGTGGTTAAGTGCCCCTGGATTCAATCCCTGGTACTAAATCAAAACCTGTGTAGTTGAAGGCAAGTTATCTGTCAGAACCTGAGAACACAGGACATGGTCTCAAGAACGTCCATTGGCCATCTGCCTCTTTTAGGGAGTATAGAGGTTCCAGTGGGCTGAGGGGAGAGGGAATCAGATCAGGGGTTCTAACCTTAAGAAAAATCTTTTCTTTCTTTTTTTTTTTTTTGTGATGTTGGGGATTGAACCCAGGGCCTTGTGCATGTGAGGCAGGCACTCTAGCAACTGAGCTATATTCCCAACCCCAAGAAAAATTGTCATCTTAAAGGGACTTAACCTGGGTGTGAGGATGGGTATTGGGTGTCCTGTGTTCTGCTGCCCACTGTTTTGGGTTGAGTTGGTAAGGAGAGGTCTGAAGGACAGAGAAGGCCACCTAGATGGTCTTGAGGAAGCTGGGAAAGTAGAGACAGTGGACTTGCCTCTGGTTCCTTCCTGAGTTTTTCTGAGGAGCCAGTGGTTCCCAAGCCCTTGCTCAGCATTGGTGCAGACAGCGGTCACAGGGGAGGGCTGGCCGGGCAGGAGGGGTCAGAGCTGTCTCAGGAGCTTCCCTTCTCTTCTGAAAAACTGGCAGTTTTTCTTTCTTTTCTTTTCTTTTTTTTTTCCTTCTACACAAAAGTGTTGAATTATCTTTTTAAATGTTAAGTAATGCAGACCTGTTTATAATTTTAATGTGCACCTCCTACCCCACAAGTGTTTCTCTGCACTGTGGTAAGAGCTTGGGGTCTTCCCCCAACCTTTTTTCTCTTAAAAAGCCTTCTCCTCTTATTTTATTTTTTAGCTTAATGAGAATAGGTTCTCAGATGTGCTTCATTCTTTCTACCCCTGAAATGCCCTTGGCCAAGGAATGTCAATTTGGAGAAGTCTTTCACTCTGTAGAGGAGGAAACAAGCTCAGAGTGGAAGTGACCTCACAGGGTCAGTCACACTAGCTGCTGGAAGACCTGGAACTACAATGTTGGTCTCTGAAGCAGGACTGAGTCCTAGGAGCCTTTGTGGCTCCTCCTCCAGAAAGTAACCCTGTGAGGGAGACCCTGAAGGGTAGACTGCTAGTGACAGAGCTCTGTAGGGTGTGTTGGGTTTTATGAAGCACAAGTGCTTCTATCCTTTATAACCAAATATAACTGTCAAGGCCCAGTAAGATATGTGGGCAACTAGAAAATTATTAACTATTTTACAGATGAATAAAATCAAAGTCCAGAGACAGAAAAATAGCTTTTGTGAAAACTGTACTTGAAGCAAGTGGCAAAATGAAGAGAATCTTGACCCTCAATTTCTATTGCGCTTCTGAGACTGAACAGCAGCTAGGCCTGAAGCAGATGCCTCATCCCGGGTTGACTGGTTAAGGAACATCAGGTCCACCTCCTTCACAGGGCTGTCAGAGAGCAGCCCCACTTCTGTTTGTTTGAATCTTGCCTCCATAGGCAATTTCTCATCAGCTCTGCGGACAATCCTGCCAGTAGGAGTTGACCCAGTCTTGTCCCTTTTGAGGAATAAGTGAGAGGGATTTCCTTCCAATTGGGGCTACATTTTCCCAGAGGGCTCTGGGAACTGTATACCCTAGTTGGCCATCTGGACCAGGTTAGCAGCTGGGAGATGATTCCATTTATCACAGCCCTAGTGAGCGCGGTGAAACTAGACCTGGTAACTTAACCCGATCAGACCCTGTTTCCCCAGCTAGAAACCAAGGGGTTGAATGCATCCGTTTCCACGGTCTCGCGTGGAGCGCCGTAAATATTATCACCAGGCACTGCTGGGGGTTCCCTCTGCACACGCACGCACCGGGCACGTGCACCTTCCTGCGATGTGTGCAGCACCACCCAGGGAACACAGGTTCTCAGGGAGGAAAGAAAAAGGACGACAGAGTAAACACGAGCTCGAGGGGAAGTCTCAGAGCCGGGGCTTCTTTGTGGTTCGGGATGGTTTCCCAGCACAGACACCAGTGGCTGGCAACACTCGGGGCGCTCCGAAAACGTTTGCGGAGCTGATACCGAACCCGTACGCGCGCCCTGAGTTCAGACATTAATACGCGCGAGTACGGGAAGTGGGGCGCGCCGAGGCCGAGAGCTGGTCTCAAGGGCAGGACGGACAAGGGCGCCGTGATGCCGCGCGGTCACCAGTGGCTGGACCGCGCCTGCCCTCCTCCTCACAGCCCTCGGCGCACGCGTTTGCTGCGCGGGGCCGCGCGCCCGCGGGGCGAGGTCAGCCCCCCAGGCTATTGGCTCTGGAGAACAAAGGGGCCGCCCCGCGGGCTGCTTCGATAGGGCCGGGCGTGTCATCTGAGCCGCACAGCCAATCGGGTGGCCGGACGGCCTGGGGGACGGCCAGGACCACCAGCCAATCAGGTGCGCGTGCCCTCCCCGCCTGCCCCGGGACTGGCCAGGGCCGGGAGCCCGGTGCCCAAGTCGCCCCCGGGGTGGCAGTTCCCGTTAACCTTAGCTACAAAGTCAAAGGTATTTATTTCCCCGGCCCCCTCCCTCCGAGTCCCTCTGCATTTAGGGCGGGGAGGGGCAGTGCGAAGGATGGCCGGGTGCCCGGCCCCGCTCCTCCCGCCCTGCTCCACCCGGCCAGGGCTGGAGCGGAGGGAGGGGGCGCGGGCCTCCGGGAGCCCCGCACGTCCCGGTGCACCGGGCCCCAAACTTTCTCCATCCCCACACAGCCGAGGGGGAAAGGACCCGGCCCGGGGTGGGGAGGGCCGCAGGACAGGGCAGCGAGGTCAGGAGGGAGGCCCGTAAGCATGCGAGGGAGAACCTAATGGTGAGCGGAGGGTCGCCTGTGCACCGCCCCTCCTGACCTGGTCCGTTGTTCTGAGTTCCCTGTCTGTGTCCACCTCCCCTGTAGATCAGCTTCTGGGGGCCAGTGCTCTTTGCAGAAAGACTCATAGTAGGTGCTCAATAAGTGTGCGATTAAATGAGCGGGGTGGTGGGGGGTGGAACTGGAGGTAAAGAATAGTGAGAGGAAGGCACCATAGAAGTTGCAGCTGTGTGCATGGTCTTCCCAACCAGGAAAATGAGCACTGCTGTCAGATCTTGGTGGGTTGGGATGGGCTGGGAGGGGGCTTCTTCCTCTGTAAAGGTGGGGCATGTAGAGATGCTGCCTCCTTCAGGGCAGGATGGAGTGCGGCTAGGGTTGGGTGTGGTCTAAGTCCAAGGGTTGGAGGCTTGGAGGCAAGTTGACAGTCCAGGCTCCGCCTTAATGTTCTTTTCGAATCTCCGTGTTCATCTACAAAATGAAGAGATTAGATGTTATTTGTTCTCTTTTAGCACCAAGATTCTAATTCTGAGCTTCTAATCTGTTTTAGACTGAAATTTCTTTTATTTGAATGTACCCTTATAACAAGGCTTAGTAATGGTTACAGTGCGCACGGCCTGTAGTGGGTACCAGGAGATGGAAGCACCCCTGTGTTCCTGTGTTAAAATGCTTTAATCTTGTTGCAGAGACAGAAAAAGGTCTTTTTTTTGGGGGGGGGGGGAGATTGGGGCAAGTGATGAATTGAACTCAGGGCCTTGTATATGCTAGGCAAATACCCTACCACTGAGTTTCTTTTTTATATATTATTTTGAGACAGGGTCTCGTTAATTGCTGAGGCTAGCCTCGAAATTACTATCCTTCCTTAGCCTCCTGGGTAGCTGGAATTACAAGCATATGCCACTACTAGATCCAGAGAAAGTGTTGATGATAACAGTAATCCCATGGATATGGTACTGGATTGAATGGTGAATAGGTTAAGCAGAGGAGTTCCTACCATTCTCGCGTAACAGAAAAGATTTCTTGGGCAAAATGATCCCTGATCTGGGCTGAGAAGAGAAGTCAGGCAAGTTCATTCCAAGAAGAGTCATTGGTGGGTATGTGAGGACTTGACAAGCTCTAGCTCAGGAACTGGATATTGGGAGATGGAGTATGTTGGGTGCAGTGGGAGAGGTGACCACAGGCCAGGTTTTGGCCTTGACAAGAAATTTTAAGCTAAATCTGAAAGTATGAGGAAGTCATTGAATGATTTTAAGTAAGGAAATAATGTTCAAATTTCAATTTTAGAAAAGTTGGTTTGGGTTCTGTGTGGCAGAAACAGAACTTGGCAGAGCAAGATAAACAATAAAGCATTGAAGTCATCCAGGTGAGAAGTAGACTGGAACTCAGGCAGGGGCAGTAGAACTTGGAGGCATTAAAATGGTGCTGGTAGGACCCAATGACCTGTTCAGTTATGGGCTGTTGGTGCTTTATGGTAGGGAGAACTGTGGATGTTTGAGTAGAAGAGGGCAAAGTGAGTCATGAGGAGGGCACAAGGGTGCCATTGAGAGGGTTCTGGGCAAGTCTGATGCTGGGGTGTGGGGATGGAAGCCCACATGGTCAGGGCTAGAAATGATAGAGGGCTTAGCAACAGGGACACAATGAAATCCATATCCAGCCCTCTCCTCCATGCAAAGTTGGTGGTAAAGGCCTCTAAAGATTCCAAAGCAGCTGGCAGGAGTCCTGGCTTAGGAAGGGTGAGCACCAGGGCATCGTTTTCCAAGCAGCTTGGGCTTGGGAAGTGTGGGAGTGGGTTGATCTTAA